TGCCCGCTGACTTTCGGATCACAGCTCGGATGCCCGGCGGCCGCTCGGAACGATTCAGACACCCTGGAACGCCCTCGGCGAGGCGCAGCTGCTGGAAAGCATTCCGAGGCTGGAGACCGCCGAGGGAGGGAAGAGGAGAGAGGAACCGCCTCGTCCGAGTTCGCCGCCATCTTATCTTGGAAGGTTGGTGGGTATTTCACGGGGGCTGTCTGAGGCGTCTTGAAAAGCTTCCCTGGAGCCTCTTTGGGGCGCCTCTTGGGAGGCTCCCAAATCGCCCCACAACCATCCGAAAGGGCTTCCAGGCAGTCCAAGAGAGCCCCAAAACGGCACAACACGGGCCCAAGATGGCCCTCAGAGAGCCCCATGGCGGCCCAAGATGGCCCCAAGACACCCTCCGAAACATTCCAAATCGTGACCCGGTCGTTCAGGGAGACCGCGGTTGGAGCCAGGGTGGCCCGAGGAAGCCCACAGAGGCCCCCAGAATACGCCCAGGAGGCCTCCAGAAGGCCTTAAGAAAGCCTGAAACAACTTTTGTGAGGCCCCCAGAGGCTCTCCAAGGAGGAGCCTCCGCAAAGAAGAGCTGAGGAGGATGAGGAGAATGCGCAGGGTATGGCGAAAATGACAACAACCAAAAAAAGCATGGAGGAAGGATAACGAAAAACATTATTAGAGCGGCGATGCAGCCAAAGGTAAAAAGGAATTATCGCAAAATTGTCGGCTGGATCTTCCTGCTATTGCGCCTGCATGCCAAACTTCAAGGACCAAGGTGCATGGCGCGAAGCGCCACTGCAGTCTTGTACATGTATATATAGAGATATATCAAATTAGCTGGCCCAACGGGCCACGGGCGTGCTAAGATCTCCGGTAATTGGTTAACAGTAATTCTAGTTCGCGCGCGCGGGGCCGCCCCTGGGGGGCCCCTGGACGAGAAGTGCCCCGGCAAGGTCCTGGGCAGGTCCCGGGCAGGTTCCGGCAAAATCCCGGGCAGGTCCCAGGCAGGTCCCAGGCAGGTCCCGGCCAGGTCCCAGCAGGCTCCCAAGAGCGCTCCAGGAGCGCTTTAACAAGAGAGCTCAACATGCTCCGAGACGGTCCAAGGGCGATCCAAGACGCCAAAGATGGCTTCCAGACAGCCCAAAGCGCCTTCAAGACGCCCCAAGAGGCCTCCGAAAGACCTCCCAGGAGGGCCCACAAACACAGAAATTTATGATTTCCCGTGAGTTTTCGAACGTTTTTGGCGTTCTCGCCTGTTCGGCTTACCGGCGCTCCAAGACTGCCCAAGAGACTTGGCCTCCAAGAGCTCCCAAAATGGCCCCAGAAGACCTCAGGACAGCTCCATAGGCCTCCAAGATGACCGAAGAGGCTCCCAAAACGGCGCCAAGAGCGGGCCCAGACGGGGGGCACAAGAGGCACCAAAGAGGCTCCCAAGACGGCTCCCAAGACGGCACCAAGAGCGGCACCTGAACGGACACTTCGACCTCCAGGCGCAGAGAGGTCCCCTGGAGGCCCCAAGAGGCCCCCAAGAAGCCCCGAAGAGGCCCCCGAGAGACCCCAAGAGACCCTCAAGAGGCCCCCAAGAGGCCCCCGTGACGCCCCAGGAGGTCACAGAAATACCGCCAAAAGGCGCAAAAAGCGGCCCCCCAAAGCCTCCAAAAGACCACGCACGCGCAAGCAAACGCCTGCGACACGGCACAACACGGGCCAGCGGAGTGAGCGAAGCGATTCAATACAGAAGAAAGAAGATTCGTAACATCCTACTATGTCTATGTATGTATGTATGGGTGGATGTATGTATGATGGATAGATGTAGGTGCAACATATGAAATTAGAAGTACTAGAATGACGCGCGCTGGGCGCGCGCATGAATTCTAGTTGACTCCGAAGACGGTTGCAATGTCCATGGGTCCAATCCCGTGGTATCTTCCCCGTGGCTACTGTTTTCGCTTGAGTGCTGTTCGGGCGGCTACTGCTATTATATATGAAGAGGCTTATATAACATATACGTACGGTTGTACATGTTGCGCATATGTAGATAGTAAACATGTGATTCTGTATACAAAGATTATGTGTGCGCATGACCGGAGCGGACAACATAAATGGGCCAAGCTCGGGGATATACAGCGAAGGAGCGCCCCTCCTCGAGGGCTGGCGGTGACAATGCGCCTGCGAGGCAAGGGGGCAGGGAGGAGGGGGAGCGGCACAAAGGAGGACGAGAAGACGGGAGGTGGCTGGGAGAGCGGCACGAGGGAGGGGAGGAGGGAGGAGGGGAAGGGGGGAGGCCAAGCTAGGTGCGTTTGCGTCATATCCGCCGTCCGACCCCTCCCTCCCATCCCTTACCATGTCGTAGATCTCCTCTCTATTCACACAGTCGGATGTCGTAGCAGGGCACAGTATTATATGGCATACCATGGTGCTGAAGACCAACACGTAGCCTGACATAGCATGGCGTGGCGACGCCTCAAGTGGGGTTGGGTTCTGCGACCCAAAAAATCAACGAATCGCCACCGAATGTGTAATCACTTCCGATGGTTGTTTCGGGGAGCATGCTCTAGATTTGGGGGCCTACTTGAAGGACCGAAAACCATGCCGTGGCATGGTGCTGGAACTAATGACGCCAACGCTGCAGCAGGAGCACGATTCGGAACGAGCGGAAGCGCGGCAAGGAGGCCAGCGCTGCAGCGGGAGCACGATTCGGAGGACGCGTAGCATGACATATATAGCATGGCGTGGCGACGCCCCAAATGGGTGGGGGCTGCTGCGACCCCAACAATCAACGAATCGGCACCGAATGTGGAATCACTTCCGATGCTTTTTTTCGGGAGAGCATTTTCTCTACTTTTGGGGCCTACTTGAAGGACCGAAAACATGCCGTGGCATGGCGCTGGAAATAATGACGCCAACGCTGCAGCAGGAGCACGATTCGAAACGAGCGGAAGCGCGGAAATGAGGCCAGCGCTGCAGCGGGAGCACGATTCGGAACGAGCAGTAGCCCGAAAATGAGGCCCACGCTCCAGCGAGAGCAGCATTTTGAAAACAACAACCCACGCGAAAAGTCAGCAGAAAAAACGTTCCCCGGGAACCCTGAGTAGAAAACCAGTGCGCTGAGGGGGGCCGGACATTTCCCGGACGTCTTCATGGGAGAGAGGAGAGTAGTACTCATATTGTGTAATTTTGGGACGCCCGAAATGGTTACGGAAACAATGGGTACAATGCCCAACAACAAATGCTGTCCCAAACCAACAGCGGCCGCTGTTGGGCAGGCGGCCTGCTGTCTCAAATGTGCACCGGCCGCGGCGACACCGACACCGAGTCCTGTTCAAAATGAACCAGAACCGCTGTTGGGCAGTGTACCCATTTTTTCCGTACCCATTTCGCTCGTGCCGATTATTGTAGAGAGGAGGCATGAGGGGGGAGGGGGAGCGGCGCGAGAGAGCGGGAGGGCGGGAAGTGCAGCACGGGGGGGGGGAAGGGCGGAGGCAAGCACGGGGGGGGTGTTCAGCAGGGGGCCGACCGCCTGGGCACTCCCGCGGGCCGACCGCGACATGTCCTCAGAACGTGAGACTGTTACAGACACAAGCAACGTTCTCATAACATCGAGGCGATGCATTACAGTCAACCCGTAGAGTAAGGATGCGCGATAAGGATGCACGGCCCCTGGAAGCCCATTTCGAAGTTTTCGAGCGGGGCGCGACCAACGAAAGTGGCCAAGGATACACCAAGGAGGCATAGATGCAAGGGTACACTTAGGAAGGTTGCCCGTCCTTACTATGCGGGTTGACTGTAAGACAAGACTGCCTCAGCCAAAGGTGTTGTAAGAACGGTCCGCGCAAACCACAGAAGCTTCTCGGAATATTTTTGGGTGGGCCCAGAGGCAAGCCAGGACGCCTCGCTACTGCTTGAGCCTGGGCGGTGGGAAGCAGCAGCCGCAACGCGCGGGGTTTGGGGGGGGGGGGGGGGGGGGGGGCAATTCTCTCGAATCCACCGGGGCGCACCCGCCGTCACACAACTCAACCTTCAGTGGCTGAAGATTGAAGCCAGGGGCTGGCGGAAGCTGGCCAGCCGCATCCCCCATCATCAGCATGGGAGGAACCGCACATAGCAAGGCGATGTTCTCGTCCACGCGCCTTGTTTCGAGAAGAAGCATTGCGGCAATCAGATGCGCCAGAAAGCTGTAGATAGCGGACTTGTCAAATTCATCACTATAGGTTTAGTACGCGCCAGCACTTGAGCCAAATGGCGGCAGAGCATCCGACTTGACTCACATATCATGGCTGTGTTCTCGTCCCCGCGCCTGAGCTCGAGGAGGAGCAGAGGGGGAGGAGGATAAGGAGAGAGGGCGAGAGAGAGCGCCGCGCTCGCCGCCTCGCGGCATGCGCCGGAGAGGCGCCCTTCTCGAAAGGCGGCGGCGCCAGGGGTGCGGAGAGATGCCTCAGAGGGGGGTAGGAGGAGGGATGGAGGGAGGGGGTAGTGCACGCATCCGAGGGAGGACGCGCGTCCTGGCTGTGCGGTGGGCCAGACGGGCCTCGCCACAAGCAGGCCGTCGAGGGCCGCCGGAAGCCGCGTCGAGCAGGCAGGCGCGGCCGACGAGGCGGCCACCCGGGGAGCCGTACGAAAGGAGTGATGGGGAGAAGAGATGAGAAGGGAGGAGGAGAAGGATGAGGAAGAGGAGGAGGAGAGGGAGGAGGAGGAGGATGAGGAGGAGGAGGAGGAGGTAGGACGTAGGAGGGGGATGAGGGAGGAGGAGAAGGAGGAGGAGGAGGAGCAGGAGGCGGAGAAGGAGGAAGAGGAGGAGGAGAAGGAGGAGGACGCGAAGTCACTGGTGAGGAGGAGGAGGAGGAGGAGGGGGAGGAGGAGGAGGAGGCGGAGGAGGAGAGGGGAAACGAGGAAAGACGAGAGAGGAGGCGGAGGGAGGGGGATGCGGGACGAGGAGAAACAAGGAGAGGAAGCAAGTGCCTTGGACGCCGCGGGCGGATCGCCCAGCAAAGCAAAAGAGAGGAACTCTCCCGCGAGCAGCTGGGCGTCGGCGACGCTGGCCGGCTGCTTCAGGGCCGCCAGCTGGTCGGCGTTGCCGGGGCACAGGGGAGCGGGGTCGCTGTCCAGGCCTCCCGCGGGCGGGCCCTCCCTCGCCGACGAGGGGCGGTGGGGATGAGGACGAGGATGAGGATGCTGCTGCTGCTGCTGCTGCTGCTGCTGATGATGATGATGATGATGATGATGATGATGATGATGCTGATGCCCATGACGTTGATGCTGACGCTGCTGCTGATGGTAAGGGTGCTGATGTCGATGGCGATGTTGCTGCTGCTGGCGATGAGGATAGATATGATGCAGATGATGACGAGGCTGATACTGATGCTGACTATACTGATGGTGATGATGATGCTGATGATGCTGATGATGCTGATGCTGATGATGCTGATGATGATGGTTGGTGGTGATGATGGTGGTGATGCTGATGCTGATGGTGATGATGATGATGCTGCTGCTGCTGATGATTATGATGCTAATGTTGCTGATGGTGGCGAAAATGATGGTGATGATGCTGATGGTGATGATGATGATAATGCTGATGATGCCGATGATGGTAATGGTGGTGGCGGTGCTGATTACGTACGTTTGTCATGATGATGATGATGAGGGGGATGAGGCTGAGGATGAAGATGAGGGTAATGATGAAGATGATGTTGATGACATGATGATGCTGATGCTGATGACCATGGTGATGATGATGCTGATGCTGATGCTGATGACGATGATGATGATGACGATGATGATGATGCTGATGCTGATGATGATAATGATGAAGATGAGGCTGCTGCTGATGATGAAGATGCTGCTTGTGATGATGGTGGCGAACATCACGGTGATGCTGCTGATGCTTATGCTGATGCTGATTATGATGATGATGGTGACGGCGACGACGACGACGACGATTGAGATGTTGACGACGATGGCGGTGAAGAGGATGGCGATGAAGATGATGACGATGGCGATGATGGTGGACGAGCCCTTCCCTCGCCGACGGGGGACGAGGATGATGCTGTGGTTACCTGCTGCGAAGGAGGCGGGCCTCCGGCAGCCCCGAGCCCGCGGGCGGAGGGGAGGGGGGGCGACGGAGGCGAGCCGGCGGGAGCAAGGAAGGGGCGAGGCGCGCTTGGGGGGCGGGAGGCGAGAAACGAGTGGGGAGGCAGGGGCACACGGGGGAGCATCACAGAGAGAGAGGGGGGGCAAGTGGCCAGTGCAAACAAGTAGTGAGTTCGTGCACGGCCACACGGCCCATCACTAGATATAATTAGCTTTAAGTCGGGCCTGTCCCCCTACAGGGGGATTTTCGACGAAAAACTCGCCGGCCCAACGGGCCAGGGCGTGCTAAGATCTCCGGTACCTGGTTAACAGTATTTCTAGTTCGCGCGCGCGGGGCGGCCCCTGGGGGTCCCTGGACGAAAAGTACCCCGGCAAGGTCCCAGCAAGTCCCCGGCAAGGTCCCGGCAAGGTCGGGCCAGAGATGCCGGAGCCCTGTTACAGGGCCCCAGGACGGGCCAAGAGGTCCCCAAGAAGCCTCCAAGACGGTCCAAGAGGGCCCCGAGACGGCCAAAGATCGCCCGAAGACGCCCAACAGGGCCCCAAGACAGCCCAAGAGGCCTCCAAGACGCCCCAAGGGCCTTCCAAGAGGCCTCCGAAGAGGGCCCCAAGAGGCCAAAATCGTTGATTTTCATTGTTTTTTTCGATGTTTTTTGCGTTCTGGCTTTTTCGGCTTCCAAGACGCTCCAAGAGACGGCCCAAGAGGCTCCCAAGACCGCTCCAAGACGGCCCACGAGGCTCCCAAGACGGCCCCGGAACGGCCCAGGAGGGCCCCCAAGACGGCCCAAGTGCCGCCCAAGACGGACCAAGAGGCCCCAAGACGGGCCCAAGAGGGGCTCAAGAGGGGAACCGAGAACTGAAAAATCGAGCCCTCCGCCCCAGAAGGCGCCCAGGGAGGCCCCAAAAAGGCCCCAAGAGGCCCCCAAGAGGCCCCCAAGACGCCCCAAGAGGCGCCCAAGAGGCCCAAAAGAGGCCCCAAGAGGCCCAAAAACGGCCCCCAAGAGGCCCCAAAACTCGGCTAGCCCACAACGGTGCGACAATATGGGCCGGCGGAATGAGCGAAGCGATTAAATAAAGCATACTCCGAAACTACTCCAAAATGGTATATAAAAAACTCAAAAAATAGTCGCCGGACTATTTTTTTTGACTATTTTTGAATCTTCCTCCTGGAGGGGGACAGGCCCGACTTAAAATTAGCTGGGAAGTCAAAACCGGCATGACCCCAACTGGTGCGTGCCGAAAGAGACGGCACAAGGCGCGGCTGCGCGAGGTCAGCGCTGTGCCAGCGCAGCCAGGGCCAACACGCAGGCAAGCCATGTCTCAGAACTGTCCCGTGGGCTGTCCCGGTGTTGCCCCCGGGGTTGTCCCCGAAGGGTGTCACGCGGCTTGTCCCACGGTTTCCCGTGGCTTCCCGTCGGTCCGTGGTCGTCGCGTGGATTGTTCGGAGGGTTGGCCCGTGGTCCGATGGGTTGTCCCGTGCATAGGTCGGTTTTCCCGTGCGTTGCCTGGTGGTTTGTCTAGTGGGCTGTCCCATGGGAGATCCCGCGCGTGTCGGGTAATTAGTTGGCTCGCGGGGTGTCCTGTCAGAACCTGGCGCCATGATCCAGCGCACCGCGCTGCAGAATTCGCGGGGTTGCCTCCCCCCCCGCCCTTCCCCCCCCCCCCCGCAGCTTGACTCCCCCCCGCCCTCTTCCCCCAGACACCGCGGCATCAGGAAGGGGCAACGCGCGGCGGACCCATGAACGAAGCCATTACGACGGGACCGCGGTCCCCCAAGGCCACGACCTCTCGTACATTACCCTGCGTCCGCTCCCCCCGGGCTGCGGCCACTCGTAAACTGCACTGCGCCCGTGCTCCCCAGGACTCACCGCTCCACCGCAGCTCACGCGGCGGTCGCGCTTCCGGGGCCGCGCCCCCTCGGCAAACTGCGCGGCAGTCGCGCTCTCGAAAGGCCACGGTCCCCGACGGTCCCTCGAGTCAGGCTGGATCCGCGCTCCCGGGGCAACGACCCCCCGGAAGTCACCCGGGACTCACGCTCCAGGGGCCACGGCCCCTCGGGCACTGCGCGGGGGGCTCGCGCTGCGAGGGCCAGGACCCCCTCGCAAGTTGCGCCGGGCGTGTGCTCTCGGGGCCAGGGCCCCTTGTGACTTGCGCGGCGTCCGAGGAGGAGGAGGAGGAGGAGGAGGAGGAGGAGGAGGAGGAGGAGGAGGAGGAGGAGAGAGGAAGAGGATGAGAATTGTACGGGAGGATGCGCTCTCCAGGCCGCGGTCCCTTGCAAGCTGCGCCGCGCCCGCTCTCCGGGGCCGTGCTCCCTCGCGAACTGCGGCGTGTCCGCGCTCCGAGGGCCACGTTCCCAAGTGAATTACGCTGTGCTCGGGTCTCAGAACCACCTGGGCGTCCTGGGGCGCCCAGGCCGCTCAAATTCTGCACAACAAGCGTTTCGCTCGAGACACCTTCAGATTTCCGGCGCCCAGGGCGCGCCATCCTAGAGCTGGCACCAAAAAATAGACCGCTTCATTGTTGGAAAAAACTCAAGGTCTCCAGACCTCATGTTTGATCTGGATTCTGCGCAAAACGCTCCGCACCCCGTTTTTGTTACTTGGGAGAACGTGTCTGCGGACCCCGCTACGTATCGAGGATCCGAGATAGGGGCACATTTTCCTCGAGCGGGCACGCGCGAAACGCATGGTTGTCAAACATCAGACTTTATTTCTATGTTTGTTCGAGTGGGAACTCTCGTGCCCTCTTGAAGTCGTTCCCGGGGGTAAACAGCTGAAAGAACCCCCAGGGCCTACGTGACGTCGGGGGTCTGGGTCCTCCTGATCTCTTCGTTTGCCTCATTTCTCCTCCAACTGCACTCCTTCCCTTTCTCCGCTTCCTTCCACGCAGCATACGACCACAAACCCGTGCTCTCCAACTGCACGCCCCTTCTTCCAGGTGCACTCCTCGTCCACCAACGTGCACTCGTCTGCCTCAGCTAAAACCAGATTTCCAACGCCGTGATTTCACAGCGTGGACCCAAAACAAAATCTCGACTCCCCCTCCTGGAAGGTGCTCGCCAAAAACCGCCCGTCGTGATTTTCAACGCACGACAATCGGGGATTCGTCAGACTTGGGTTCGGGGCAGTCGGGTTGGCCTGACGGGCGGGGCCTTCAGGAAAATGACGAGACCCAATCGAAAATTCGACGCGAAAAGCCGCTGCGAACACCCCACGAGAACTGGGCCGTCAAAATCAAGGACGGGCTCCCTAAAGCGCGTCCATAAACCCTAGTCTCGGCGAACTCGAGTCTTACTGAGATGACCGCGGCGGTTGCCAAGGGGACAGGGGGTTCAGGAGCGGATGCTAAGGTAGGATATATCTGGCCTTATCTAGCTTATAAGTGGGTCACGGGTGCCACAAATAGTTAACGATCCAGGCCACATGGGAGGAACCAACTTAGCGGAGTGATCCAAGCCCCCTGAGCCACTTGGGGCACCAATAACCCACTTGAAAAGCAAGTTAGGTCAAATATTCGCCGGCCCAACGGGTCAGAGGCGTGCTAAAATCTCCGGTAAGCGTTTCAGAATGTCTCTAGTTCGCGCGCGCGCGCGCGGCGGCCCCTGGGTCCTCGGACGAACGATACCCAAGCAAGTTCCCTGCAGGTCCCGACCACGGATGCTGGAACTCTTTGGCGCGGCCCTGGGGCCCCCCCGAGCGCCCCAGGAGCGCCCCGCGCATAAATAGGTGGCAGGCCCACTGCTTCAGGTCAAGAGCGTTCCAAGATGGCCCAAGTTGGCCTGGAGACGGCCCCAGAGGCGCCCAAGACGCCCCAGGAGGGCTCCAAGATGACCCCAACGGGCCCGCACAGGCAAATCAATTGATGTTGCTGGTGTTTTTGATTGATAGATTGTGGCGGCACCGCCTATATTCAAGCTTCCGACCGCCCAGGACGGCCCAAGAGGCCTTCAAGATCGTCCCAAGTCAGCCCAAGAGGCTCCAAGGACGACCCCAAGTCAGTCCAGGAGGGCCCCGAGACGACCCAAGAAGCTCCCTAGAGGGCTCCAGAGGCTCCCATGATGGCCCCAAGACGGGAAATCCAAACAAGCATATCGAGCCTTCCCCGAAAGTTTGCCCCCGAGACCGCCATCAAGCCCCCAAATAGCCCTCAAGATGCCCACAGAAGCCCAAAAGGATGCCCCGCGGGCCTCCCAAGAGGCCCCGGGAGTTCCCAGCATGATCGACCCACGAACATAGAAAGTGATGTAGACAAAACAGATAAACAGCATGGAGATGTTTCAAAACACATTTTTCGTCAGCGGCGAGGCGATGAACTCCGCTCCAGCGAGAAGCAACATAGGGACATTAACTAGCGAATTGTCCGGCGAACAGAAAGGGGGGGTGACGGCCACGAGGAAGAAAGGACGCTCAGACGCCGAAGACTTCGACGATGAGCAGCCAGCGGGGCGAGATGTTTCAAATCACCAAACTTGGGCGACTGGCAATTGCAATGATCACGGCAACAATGGTGATGTACCGTGCTAGGCGCTGTGCTGTGCTGTGCTGCGATGAATTGAAATTCGCCATGTCGCGTTGACCCGTACTATGCCCTACTGCATTGCGGATCAAGTCGTCCTTGGCATTACAATCCTGACTGAGCTGATCCGGATCTTGAGCCCGAGCTGCCTGAACGCATATCTCAAACTGCTGGCAGTCGAACCGCGCGGGACGCTCTACCAGCTCGAGCTAAAGATCTGATTCAACTGCGTAGCGGGACGAGTCAGCAGGGGGCGACTCCGAACCGACTTTAAACGCACCGAGAATGGGCGGACCGACGCACGGCGAACCAAGACGCGACGAACTGCATCAAGACGAACCAAAACGATACGAAGGCCGAACCGACCCGACTCGAAGCGAGACAATACAAACCAACCATCCTGAATATACATGACGTCACCTGACGAGGGAGCCGCAAGCCGAGATGCAAGGCCCCTCACAGATAACCAAGGCAACGACTTGGCATACATTGCGATTGGTACGTGCTGTGCTGCACTGTGCTGCGTCATGCTGTGTTGAACTGTGTTGTCCGCTGTTGCGCTGTGGATCAAGCAACCCGTGGTTTTCCGATCCTGTCCGCACTGATCTGGATCTTAAGCTCCAGCTGCCCACGCGCATGGTTCGCCCAAAGCTGGCTGCAGTCGTGACATGCGGGGCGGTCAACCAGCTCGAACTCAAGATCTGTTTCGGTTCCGAAGTGGGACGAACCGATCGAGGGGCGAATCCGAACCGAAACGAAATGCACCCAGACGACGACAAGGCCCCCGCACGACAACTTCTCAAACAATGCAAAGCCAGCGTTTTGCGAGAGGCATCCTCAACACGTCGTGCAGAGGGGTGCGTTCGCTGCGGGCGAGGCCCTCGCTCGAGACATCCTCACAACAACTCCTGCAGGACGAGCGCTTCGTTCTAGACATCTCCCTCACGTCCTCATGTCAGTGATTCGCCTGGGCGACCTGGACACGTGAAAACCAAAGTTTCGCTCGAGATATCCTCAAAGCATCCTCATGTTACAGATCCGCCTGACGCACGTGGGTCCCTTTCGCGCCAGAGCGGAACTGGCGTGAAAGCGCGCGGGTCCTGTTCGCGCCAGAGCGGGAAGCATGGGAATACACATGGGTCCCTTTCGCGCCAGAGCAGAAAAAAGCGTGAAAACACCTGTTTCGCCCCAGAGCGGGAAAAATGTGAAAACATGTAGGCCCCTTTCGCCGCAGGAGGCCTCCCTAGGCCTCCCTAGGAGGCCGCAGGAGGCCTCCCCAGGGTCCCAGGACGGCGCGTGTCAAGTTAGTACGCATCTGGCGTCGACTCGTTCACATTTTCCGGCTCTTGGGGGCCAGAACGACCACATGTTAGATATCCCCCCCTGGGTGGCTTGGACATCACGTGTGTCCACTTCGCCCCAGAGCGGAACAAGCGTGGCAACACGTGCTCCTTTCGCGCCAGGGCGGGACAAGAGCGAGAACACGTGGGCCCCTCTCGCCCCGGAACGGAACATGCGTGAGAAAACACGTGGGCCTCCTCCGCTTCAGAACCGCTGCGGTCATCTCAGCACCCCAGAAAACCAGGTCAGGACTGGGCAGGGGCGGCGGAGGCGGGCGCCGCTCCCGCCTGGCGCCTCGAAGGGCCTACAGGCCCCGCGTGCGGGCACGGGGCGCGCGCGCGCGCGGGTTCAGCTCTTCGCTCAGGAGGAGGAGGAGGAGGAGGAGGAGGAGGAGGAGGAGGAGGAGGAGGAGGAGGAGGAGCGGCGGTCAGCAGCGCCTGAGGCGCGGAGGTGCACCGGGTCCACTGGCTGGCTGAGCACGTAGGACCGCATGACCTCGCAGGGACAAAGGCCGCGGCCGCCGCGGCTCCCGCGCCGCCGCCGCCGCCGCCGTCGGGCGGGGGCTGCCCGCTGCGGCCCCCCCGGGCCCCCCCATCGCGATGTATTCAGTCGGGGCGTTGACCTAAGGAACCCTAAATAAGGAACGAGGCCCCTTTTCTCCATGAGTTAAACTCCTCCTCCTCCTCCTCCTCCTCCTCCTCCTCCTCCTCCTCCCTCCTCCCTCCTCCCTCCTCCCTCCTCCCTCCTCCCTCCTCTGCTCTGCGTGCCGCCGCGGCGGCCCCGGCACAACGCTGTGCCCCGCGAGCTGCTGGCGTGTTTCGCGCCGCCTCCGCGGGGCGGGGAGGCCCTGGACAGGCTCGGTACAGTCGGAGCCTTGACCTAAGGAACCCTAAATAAGGAACGAGGCCCCTTTTTTCCATAAGTTAAACGTCGATCTCCTATCGAAAACCCGAAGAAAACCCAGGGCGAGCTGCGAAACAATTCAGGAACACCGAGCCCCTCCCCGACGGAAAGGGTTCCTTCTTCAGGGCCCCGACTGTATATTTTGCCTCCTGGGAGCCTCGCCGAGTCCCGGGACCATCGAGACACGCTGCAAGACAAAAAAAGCGGGTCCTGGGAAGTGGGTCGACACCGCTGGGGGGCCGCGCTGGGAAGAGAAGCAGACCCCGGGGGTCTGGGACTGCCGCCACTCTCGTGAGACTCTGCAACTGGGCCCGTTGATACTACCGCTTCTCGCAGAGGGGTTGGGCACGCCCCTGGGTAACTTCTGCGCGCGGTGGGGCCCTGAATCAGCGTGACTCCGTGGGAACCCTGAAGAACTCCCTTTGGGCACTCTTGGCGCCGCCGCCGCAAGCCGCCGCCGTCTGGGGGAACAAGGAGAGGAACCGCCACTTCCCTGACCCCTCCTGAGGTGCCCTCTGACCAATCTTTCGAAGCGATCTCAGCCGCGGCGACGAGGGAGGGGCAGCGGCATCGGTACAGCACACACAAAGCGTAAGAGATCTTGCTGCAAGAACTCTGGGGGCGCGTTTGTGGTCGGCCTTGGAGCTCTCTGAGGTGTGTGGCCCCCCAAGGCCTCTGGGAGATACAGAACTTCCATTGGGCACCTGCTGGCAGGCCGATGTCTTACTTGACGTACGCAATGTATCTCCAGAGGCCTCTCGCCAGATCGTGCTGGATCGCCGATGCATCGCCGAGGTATCGGCGATGCATCGGAGATGCATCGGCGATACATCGCCGCCATCGGCGTGGCGAACATCGGGCTCCATATCAAGCCGCATCGCCGATGCATTGGCAATGCTGTGCTATCCTCCGATCACATAGTGTTCGGACCCATCTGGAATGCCTCGAATCTCTTCCTCTGATCGTCGCCGCCAGGGTGCGACTGGGGGAAACCTCTGACTATCGTCGCCTTTCAGCTTCTTGCAGTGCGGACGCGGTCGCCAGAAACCCTCGCAAGAAACAGAGTCAAGAAGACCCGCGCGCGAGTGCGACTGGGGGGAAGCTCCGAGCACCCTGGACGCAGCAGGTCACCGAGGGACGAGGGCTCGGGGCTGGCGGCGGGCGCGCACACGGTGGCCTGGAGTCGTTTTTACAACGCCGATACCTCGGCGATGGGCCCTCGACAGCGGAATGCAGAGGGTGCAGGAGGAGGAGGAGGAGGAGGAGGAGGAGGAGGAGGAGGAGGAGGAGGAGGAGGGGGCGGCCACCGAGCAGCGCGCGAAGCGAAGAACTCCAGCTGGTCATCGCTCGGACGTTCATTTCCTGTGTTTTTGTTTGGTTTCGTGCGTGGCTTTCTCGCCAAATGATCAAAGATGTTCCTCGATGGTCCTCGCCGAAGGAAAAATGCACACGTCCGAGCGATGCCAAGCCAAGGCAGCCTGACGACAAACATCCGGTCTCTCGTTGCGCGGCCCCACGATACGCGGGCCGGCGGCGCCACACCGCACGCCATCTTCCCGACACCCACCGCACCGTGGGGCCGATCGGTGCCGGCCTCCGCCCACCGGGGCCGGGCGGCGCCCCGCGCCCGGCGCCGCCAGCAGCGCCGGGGCGAGCGCTGGCTGCGGCGGCCCCACTGCACTTGACGAGCCTGCTGTACCTGACGTGCCTGGCGCACCACTGCACCTTGCGTGCACTACGTGCCGCCGCCGCCGAGCCCATCCGTGCACGGATCGCCCTATGGGGCCCGCCATCCCTGCGCCCCGCGGCAGCGGCGCTGCCGCCCGGTGCAGCAGCCTGTTCGGCCACATGCAAGAGTGAGGAGGAGGAGGAGGAGGAGGAGGAGGAGGAGGAGGAGGAGGAGGAGGAGGAGGAGGAGGAGGAGGAGGGGGGGAAGGAGGAGGAGGAGGGGAGGAGGAGGAGGAGGAGGAGGGGGAGGAGGAGGAGGAGGAGGAGGAGTTTAGAAGGAGGAGGAGGAGGGAGGAGGAGGAAGAGAGGAGGAGGAGGAGGGAGGTGAGGAGGAGGAGGAGAAGCAGGAGGAGGAGGAGGCGGAGGAGGAGGGGAGGAGGAGGAGGAGAGGAGGAGGAGGAGGAGGAGGAGGAGGAGGACGAGGAAGAGGAGGAGGAGGAGGAGGAGGAGGAGGAGGAGGAGGAGGAGGAGGAGGAGGAGGAGAAGAATGGAGGAGATTTGGCACGCCCAAAGAATGACCAAAGACAAGAAACCATCTTGACTCTTGCAGTAGAAGGCGCTTGAAGTAGATTGGGATCTGGGGATCCAGAAATAATACTCTTAACGGCCGGCGTGTATAGTGTTCTGGTTCAGCCCATGAGCGGTGACCAGCGCTGCCCCCCCGCCCCCAGACTTTTGGTAAGGGCGGAGGGGAGCACTACGGTCAAGAGCTGGAGGCCTGCACAGGGGGGGGGCTCCACCATGAGAAGATGATCCTATATTTTGGTGTTGGTGGTAATCCTTCGGCCACCTAGCAACCAAACAGTGCAAACATTGTGTAGCACATCCTCTCCCGAGCAACGTGGCCAGAAAGCGCCCGCCCCCGAGCATGCACTACACAATTTCTCAGCGCGCGCGTCGCCCCTTGGGGGGCGCCGCACGCTGTGTCCCTCAATAGTTCTGGAGCCCGGACTACAGGCACCCCCTGGCTTACAAGTACCCTCTCCCCAGACTGCAGGTCCCGCCCCCCCCACCCCCCCAAGGACTACAGTCAAGTCCGGCCTGTCCTCCTGCAGGCGGATTTTGGATGAAAAATCAAAAACACTCCAGAAATATCAAAACACTGTCAAGAATAGCAAAGCAATCGTCCCCAGACTACTTTTGCCCATTTCTGAATATTCTTCCGGTAGAGAGACAGGCCCCAACTTTTGAGCAAGGACCGACCGTCCCGGCATTCCGATAGTGCTACCACGAAATGCTCTTAGAACCCCAAAATGTTCTCAGAACAAAAACAGTGTTCTCAGAACGTAAACCCGATGCGATAAAACAAGACAGACTCCGCCAGAACTGTTCGGAAAACATTCCGTGAAATCCACAAAGAGGTCCTCAGAGCACTGTTTGGCAGGGCTACCGGCGAGCCGGGACGCTCCACCACGGCGTGAGACTTGAGACTGTACGGGTGCCTCCCCTGACCGGGGCGCTGCCCCGCGAGCGGTCCCGCGGGCGCTGGCCTGCGACGGGCCCTCCGCTCAGGTCCAGCCAACGAGGCCCGCGGACCAACAAAAACAGGCAGACCCGGACATCGGAGGCCTTCCTTTTTCCAAGACAGTCAGTCGGGGCGTTGACCTAAGGAGCCCTAAACAAGGAACGAAGCCCCACCCAGGCTTCAAAAAAGCCTGGGTGCACGAGAAGGGCTAGAGGAACAACCACGGAAGGACGCAAGGAACATCCGAGGTCTTCCTTTTCCCAATGCAGTCGGGGTGTTGACCCAAGGAACCCTAAGAAAGGAACGATGCCCCACTTTCCCATAAGTTAAACCTCGACTTCCCAGCGAAAACCTGAGGGAAAACCTAAGACAAACTGTGGAACAAAGGGTTCATTCTTCAGCGCCCCGACCGGACTGGCCCCCAAATATCGCGACATCGGAGGTCTTCCTTTTCCCAATACAGTCGGACTGCTGAGATAAGGAACGCTAAATAAGGAACGAAGCCCCTCTGCGGCTTCCAAAAAGCCTGGGTGCACGAGAAGGGCTAGAGGCACAACCACGGAAGGACGTGAGGAATATCCAAGCCCCTTCCAAATCCAAACCGTTTCTTATTTCAGCGTCTTGGCTGAACTGGCTTCCCAAAGTCGCGACCGAGTTACCCGGGCCGGCTTTCCATCCGGAGACGCTTTTTCCTCACGGCCCCAGGACCCCGCACGGGCCCCCGACGTAATTCTCTCCGCAGAGATTCTCTCACAACGAGCGAGGGTCGAGTCAGTTTCTGACGGCCCCAGGGCCTTGAAACGTCCTCAAAGGGGCCGGGCACGTGCAGAAGCCGTCCACCGTGACTGTTGTGTTGTGGCGTCGCCTGACTCTGAGGGGTCGCTGCATCCCTCCTACCGCCTTCATCCCGCACCAACAGGACTGGAGCCCCCTTAGCCTGAGAATTGCTACCCAGGACTTGGAACAGTCCGCCTGGTGAGGACAAAGACTTGAGAATGTTTCGATCAACGGCTGCAATTTTCTCGTGCGCGCCACTGTCCAGGTTGACCAGAAATCCCCGTGATAGAAACCTCCCAGATAGGGTCTGAGCAGGTGGGGTCGGAGGATCGCGCCGCATCGCCGTTGCATCGGTGACGTCGGCGATTCATCGGCGACGAAGGCGTGGAGACAATCGCGCTCCACATCGAGCCGCATCGCCGATAAATTGTCGATGCGGCGCGATCCTCCGGCCACATCTACTCCGACCCTATCTGGAAGGCCTGGATCTTAATTGGGGCTCTGATGCGGTGCCCGGACAGAAAGTGTCCACACACATGACGGGAAGGCGATGCAACGTGATACCAACCACAACTGCAAAATGCCCTTGCTTCGCACCTCTCCCCCCAAACCCCAAATTGAAGTGTCCAAATGTTGTCCCTGGCCTTCGGTCTAAGTACCACCTAAACCCGGCAACTTTGAATTTAGGAGAAGGGGGGTACACATGTTGATCCGACGCACTTTAATGACTCAAGGTCTTGGCGAGACACGCGTGGACACTTTCAGTCCACCCACCGTAGGACTCCACCTCCGCCCCCCGGGCCCTGAAGTATGCCGTCCGGGGCCGCGCCGCGAATGCCCGTACTGCGACGGCCTTACGGCCCGTGCCGCCGACCCTGAAGAACGACGACGACGGCGACGGCGACGACGACGGCGACGGCGACGGGGACGGCGACAGCGACCCGACGGCGACAGCACGGCGACGGCGACGGCGACGGCGACGGCACGGCGGCGGCGACGGCGACGACGACGGCGACGGCGACGACGACGGCGACGGCGACGGCGACGGACGCAGGCCGCCGAGGGGGCCGCGCCTGCCCGTACTTTTTCACGCGCTGCGCCACCTCGTTCTCGTCCAGCGGCGCGGGCGGGAGGGCGAGGTTGAGGAGCCTGCGGCGGGAGGGCCAGGACGGGAGGTCGGGGAGCCTGGAGAGGGCGAGGAGGCGGCCTACGAGGCCGCCGAGGGCAGAGACAGCGGGAGGCCGCCGAGGGCGAGGAGGGCGCCGAGGGCGGGGAAGGATGAGGCCGCCATGGGCGGCGAGGGGGGCGGGCGGGAGGCCGGGAGGGCGGCAAGGGACAGGGAGGAGGGGGGAAGGAAGGCCGGGGGGACGGGCAGGGGCAGCAGGTTCAGCAATGCGCCGGGCGAGCGCCCTGCTCGAGGAGGCCTGCGGCGGGGATGGGGCGGTGAGGCCGCGCGAGGGCAGGAGGGCGCGGAGGGGGGCGGGCGAGGGCTGTGCGCTGAGCCGTGCGCAGGCGGGTTTTCCCCTCGCAGAGCGGAGGCCACGCCCGCGCCCTGCGCCAGCAGCCCCGCAGGGGCCATCGTGACTGGGGCATCGCCGCCCGGGGGCGGGAGCGCCGTGCCGCAGCAACTTGGCCCTGGAGGGAGCAAACCGCAGCCCAGGTATCGGGCCTTGCTGAAAGGGCGGGGGGAGCGGGGAGGGGGGGGAAGCGGCAATGTGTGGGGGAGCGGGGGGGTGGAATTGCGCACTCGGGGCTCCATGGGGGCCTCTTTCCTGCAATCCACGATCCCCCCTCCACAATTGAGCATCGTTTATCCTTTATCCGACCCCCATCCCCAGCGGCGTGGCCTGGGCCCCACTGGCCGATGGGCCCCCCTAGATGGGGATACAGGCCGTTCCCTGCGGGATTCGAGGGGTGCATCCCCAACTGGGGTGGCACTCTGGTGGTGGCCTCGAAGGGGATGAGGATGGGGACGGGGGTCGGTTCAACGATACTGATCAATGTGTCTTGGGCAGGGGCCGACCGTCCTGGCATTCCTATAGTGCTACCACGAAATGTTGCTAGAAACCAAACATGTTCTAAGAACCAAAACAATGTTCTTAGAACATTAGCCCGATGTGATAAAACAAGACAGGCTCCGCCTGAACTGTTCTGAGAACATTTCGTGGAAACCACAAGAAGTTCCTCTGAACACTGCTTGGCAGGGCTATGGGCGAGCCAGGACGCTTCGCCACTGCTTGAGTGTCGGCCCCCCCCCCGTCGCGAGGCGCCCGAGGAATGTGAAGATGAAGAGGCCCCAGGACACACAAATAAATACACACAAATAAACAGATTCCCCATATTATCCCATATGTTCTGGGCTTTTGTCTTCCCCCCCACTTCCAATCTTTTCCCGCATTTTCCTTGGAATCGACGATAAATTGTGTTTGTGTTTTTTCCCCTCCTGAGAAGAGGGGGGCGGGGTGCGGGTGGGGCGGGGGCGGCTGGAGGCCGGCAAGGGCAGCGGGCCACGCGCACGCAGGGCGGCGGGCGCCCCGCTCGGGGGGGAACGCCCGCGGGGTGCGGTCGGAGTGCGCAAGGCGCCCGGCACCGGCCGGCACTGGCGGCAGGAGGATCCTGCGAAGATGCCGCCGCCACCCCACGTGTGCCTCTTCCTCCCGCTCCTCCTGCTCCCCCCTCGCTCCTCCTCCTGCTCGGTCCCCTCCCCCTCCTCCTCCTCCTCCTACCACTTCACTCCCACTCCTCCTCCTCCTCCTCCTCCTCCTCCTCCTCCTCCTCCTCCTCCTCCTCCTCCTCCTTTTTCTCTCCTATTCCTGCTCCTCCTCCTCCTCCTCCTCCTTTTTCTCTCCTATTCCTCCTCCCGGGTCCGTATTCCTCACCCGTATAGGCTCCTACCCTGCCATCTCGCCAACCGATTAGCCCCCAGATCTGGCACATCCTGGTCGACACGTGAAAACAAGACAGAGTCGACGCTGTTGCCCTCGACAGGGAGGATCTGCCACCCACGCCGCGGAACACGTGGCAGGACTGGCACGGGGCGCGCATCCGGCGCCAGAGGGCGCACTGCCGCTGTCGCCTAGGCGCCGCGCCCACCTTGCCAGAATCTTGAGCTCCCGCTTGGGCGCGGCGCACTCTCTTCTGAATCGTTCGGGCGCCAGTGCGCCGACGCGCAAGTGGACTGAACTGTCGCTCTCGCCTCTGCTCCTCCTCCTCCTCCTCCTCCTCCTCCTCCTCCTCCTCCTCCTCCTCCTCCTCCTCCTCCCCCTCGTCCTCCTCCTCCTCCTCCCCCTCCTCCTCCTCCTCCTCCTCCTCCTCCTCCTTTTCGGCCGGCATAGCGACTCCGCTGGTGGGAGCCTTGCCGCCCCCGCCCGGGCCGCCGCCGCCCCAGACGCATGGCCCGACATACGGCCCGTGCTGGGGGATGCCCCACCAGCCGGCGCCGCAGTGGTACGGGTGGCCTGCGGCCCCAGACGAGCGCTACAATCAGGCGTACCCTTTCCCCGACCCTGGTACGGCTTGCCTCGGCCATCCTATGAGTGAGGCGCCGCACCACTTCGGTCGTCGCAAGAAGGACCGCGGTAAAGGGGGACCCTACCTTGGCAACCCGAGCGCTCCTGCCCTCCAGCCCTTCGGATCGGAGGTGGCAAGGGGAAAGGCGGGAAAGACAAAGGCAAGGATAAGGTCAAAACCATTGGGGCGCAGCCGGCCTTCCTCGATCCTGCCGCCGGCACGGGAGGCGGCGCCGCCCCGATGCAGCCACCCCCCGGCAGTGCCCATCAAGCCCCCTGGCGCTCGCGGAGGCGGAGGTCCAATTCCGGAAAGCCAAAGTTCCCGACACCCACCCCACGCTCCTCAAGGCCAAGCAAGAGCTGGAAGACCTGCGGCAGTCGAGCTTCCAGTCCCTTCCACCTGCAGAACAGGCGGTGCGCCTGCGCAGGCAGATCACTTCGACAAGGGACGTCGTCTTCAAGAAAAATGCGGCGCTCGTAGAGGCGGAGACGCAGATCGACAACCTGATCACTTCCTACTGCCAGCAGGCGGATGACATCAACACCCGGGTCGGCGGGCTGAGTGAGAAAACCGCTCAGCTCAACATGGTCGAGGCCTCCTCGGCCGCCGCCTCCATCATCACCCCGACCTCGCGGCAGATTCTCGCGCACTGCAGAGCTCACCCAGAAGAAGTCACGCCCCTGTCCGAGAAGGCACCCCTCGAACGGGTGACGGCCGACCTGCGGGCACGGGCTCCCGCCTCGCAAGTCCCGCCAGTGGAGACTGTGCCAGCGGGAGCCGAGTCGCGCATCAAGGGGGCGGCGGAGACCATGAGCGAGGCGCCCAAAGCCTTGCGGGGGCACCTGGAGGAGGCTGGCCTCCAGGAGAAGCAAGAGGCCCTTGCCCAGGCGGCGGCGGCTGCACCCCCATGCAGAGGACCCGCAGGGCGCGCCCCCGGCGGCAGGCGAGGCAGGCGAGGCAGGCCTCCCCGCGGGTGGCGCGGGGGCCCTGGCCGAGGCCGCGGGCGTCTCCCGGCCATCGGCGGGCGCGGGTGCAAACGTGACCCCGTCGCTGGGGCAACCCGCGGGGGGCCCCCGCAGCCAGTCCATGCCGACCTGGCAAAGTGACCGCGCTTCTACCGCCTTCGGGCGCTCGGCCGGTCTCCGTGGCCATTTTTAATGGCAATTCGTGGACCTCTATACGGGGCCACCTGGACTCTGGGGCCCTCTCGGCCCACAGAGTCTTGTTTCTCCAGGAAGCCCTCCTGGATGACCCCGGTTTAATTCAGCTCGCCGTGGAGCACTCTTTGCGGAAAGGCTGGAAGGCTGTATTTAACCCAACCGCGCGCTCCCCAGACAACCGTGCGATCGGGGGTGTCGCCATCCTCGTCCGCGCGGAGCGGGACATCGGCCTCTCTCCACTTCCTGAGGGTCTCCCTCCCTGCGTTGATTTTTCCCGTCTTGTCGCCGTCCGTTATGAGCCTCCTGGCTTTGTTCCTCTCCTCCTTGTATCCCTATATCTTCACCCAGTGGTGAAGCTGAATGAAGCTAATCGTGCCTTGCTCGCTCACTTGGGCATCTTACAACACAGCTCAGGCTTGAGCATTCTTATCGGAGGGGATTTCAATATGAACCCGTCCTGTGTACTGGAAACTGACTTTGGCGAGAGAAGCAGATTTAAAATCGTCGTTCCCTCCCGCCCCACACTGTACTTTTAAAAAACCAAGACCAAGGTTGACGACTTCTTGGTCTCAGCGGGCTTCTACCCACTTGTCCAAAAGGTGGTGTCCCTAATGGATTTCCCCTCCTCTCTTCACCGCCCAGTCGCTCTCTCTGTACTTCTAAGCCGGGAGGTGCTGGTACCAAGGCTGCGCCGCCCCAAAGCCTTACCCAGTGGAAGCTGTGATAGGCCCGCAGTTTCATGTCAGGGCGGCGTCGCTGGTCCGGAACAGTCCTTACGGGGGGCCCTCGGCCATGCGGCTAAGCAGAAGCAGCTCAATACTTGTTATGCTGCCTTTGCCGCGGCTTTTGGCGATGAGCTCTCTCGCATCACCCGCCGCCTGTGTATTCGAATCGTGCCAGGGGCCTCCCGCCGCGCATCGGGTGGACACCCGCTGATAAGCCACTGCGGCAGCCTGAAGGGTGAGTCTCGCACCCCCCCGCGCACCGCCGGCTATCTTAGTAATTTGCAAGACCTCCAGCGGTGCGTCGCCGGTGGAGGCGCCGTGGAAGCGGCCGTGGCGCGGGTGGTCGAGCCCCCAGAGGACTGCCCTGACACGCCCTTCGCAGCACGGAATTCGTTGAAGGAGCTGAGAGGCATCTGCAGCCAGATTGCCCCAGATGGTAGCGCTGTTCAGGTGCCTGTGGAGCAGGCGCCTGCGCTTTTGGCGGGCCCTGCGGAGGAGTTAGATGCTCTTCTATGTGCAGAGCAGGCCGCGGACGCCCGCGAGCGCACGCAGGCCTGGCGAGACTGGACCACGAAGGCAAACAGCAAGTCGGCAGGTTGGGCCCATCGTTGGTCGAAGTGCCAGGCGAAGTGGACTGGGTCAATTAGCACGAAGACTGGTCCGGTCGGCCCTCAAGATTTCTTGGCAGTGAGGCTACCAGACTGGCAGGGCTCTGGGCCACTGCGCGCATTGCTTCATACCTTCGCGGCACAGCCGCGAAGGTATGATGCGGTTTCTGGATTCGCGTGCATTTCTTATGGTACAGAATGTTTCACACGATGTCGTTCCGCTTCACTCGCTCGCCGCCCTCCCACTATCAGGCCCCGGCCTTTTGAGGCGGGTTAGCCACCAACACA